ATTCTTTATCCTACAACCCTGTTATAGTTTTCTCTTCCAAGTAATTATTGGTAAATATGATGAGATCATCTGTTTGGTTTAAACTAGCTGAGAGTGATTGAACACAAATATGTGTCAGCCAATTTCTATATACTTACTGCTATTAAAATCTTTGATCCTCATTATACAATCATGGAACAGGTGACATAATTAACACACCTTTTAAATCTTTTAAATCCAAGAATATGAAATGTATAGGTGTTAGGCCTAAGATTTTATTGCTAGTCATTAGAGTGGACAGGATTTGAACCCAGGAAATCATGTTCTGAAATCTGTTGTCTTAATTATAATCCTGTTAGCCTCCCATTCCTACATATTATCTATCTCTCACAATTTAAAATAAAAATGTCACAGATTACTATTCATGCATGCATTATTTCCTTACATCTGCATTTAATATGCAGACACAACAATTCACAAATTTGGGGGCTTCCCAATAACTAACATGTTCACTAACTAACATGTAGCTTACATAACTAACTTCATCCTAGGCACAGTTATGTTCACATATAATCCAGAAACAAAAGGCAAATTCAAAAAAGAAGAACAGAATTTACTGAAGAGTTTTAAGTGACTATAAAGCCATGATCAAATGTTCAGTCTTACTACTCATTAGTGAAATCAGATACTAATTCCTACCTCTCTAATTAGCAAGGATTAAAATAAATAATACTCACCATTGGCAGGAGTACAGAGAAGGCACTTGGTCATACATTAGTGGTGGGAGGTAGAAAAGTTTACAGCCCAGGTGCCATGCAAATTTGCCAATATGTATCCAAAAATTGCAAGATTTCCTTAGCCTTTGATCCCTCCAAAATCCACTTCTAATAAATTGATTTTAAAATAGAAAAGAGACTAATACTTGGGCTGAGGAATTTTGACTGTAGGATTGTGTGTGAGAGCAACTTAGAATAATGGCGATAATGTAAACATCCATCTGTAGTGAGTTAGTTAGCCATCACTTAGGAGGTCCTTACTATTGTGTGACCCTGAATGACATAGAGGGGATATGATGACCAGCCAGTGAGGGGGGTTGTGGCCCTTCCCTTATTGGGAAGCAGTGCCTAGTGAGACTGGTCATCTAGATGCCATTAAATCCACAATGTGGAATGTTATGAACTAACTACAACTGTAACATACTGAGAACTCCAAAAGCATAATTTGTGAGAGTATTTAAATAATGCTGATTTAAAGACATATGAAAAAGAACAGAAATGAAGAAAGATTATAAATGGGTCTAATTTTGCATAAACAGGTTATCGTGAAGTATATAGCAACATATAAACAAACATACAGAGAAAAAAATCATAGATAGAAGATGACCAAAAAGAACCTGGTGACTAATTAGTAGGAAATAGATACAATAGAATCTTTACGGGCTGGGGTTCAGTGGTAGAGCACCCGCCTCGTGCTTATGAGGCACTGGGTTCGATCCTAAGCACAACATAAAAATAAATAAAGATATTGTGTCCACCTACAACTAAAAATAAATAAATAAGTACTTTAAAAAACAAATCTTTGTGTTTTCTTTGTTTTTCCCCAAATTTTCCACTGTGAGCCATCTTTATATTTAGAGAAATAATACGACTGATACTAAAACATTCCAATATAAAGAAGGTATTTACTTTGATTCTCTACAAAGCTTTTCTTTCCCCAAACTGTTAAGATTCTGTGTTCCTCTGTGGAAAATGGAGACATTTCTTCCCATGTGGGTTGGAAGGCATCTCATTGCAGTGAATGAAGCAAACACAGAAGCTCCACCTAAACCCACCCCCAACTCTACCTCCCAGACACAGTGAATTTGTGCCAGCCCTCAGCTCCCCTCTTGACCTCACCTTCCTTCACCCCAGCTTGTCCTGCAGTGTGTCTTGACACTTGTCCCTGTGTTCAATCCCCTCCCCCACATTACTTATGAACTCCTAAAGAGCAACTCATCCTTACTACTCAGTTTTTAGGATCAGGTTAATTGCTAGCTAATAGTTCATAGTTAAAGACTAAAACCAAGGACACTTTTTTGAATATACAAAATAGCACATCATTAAAAGGCAGGCAGACCTGCTTAATGAAAAGGCTCTTGGACTCAGGAGTGAGACACAGCTAGGTTACAAACTTGCCCTAGCATCTTATCTCTGTGGCCTTTGGTAAGTTACTAATGTGCATGAGTCTTAACTTTTCTCTTGTGCAAACTGGCTGCGGGATGGCAGGGGGAACATTGCTAGATAACAGAGGTATTTTTTTGGCATATGGGAAGTGTTTAAAGTGTTCTAGAGGGATGATGTTTTCAAGTTTACATTCATCTTAAGAAATCTCATGTATTTTTTTTCACTGTCTCTGTTTTTGATTTTTAACTTCTAAGTTGACTCATTGGCACTTATTTGACAGATTTTTAAGTATGTGTCTCTGAGAATTTAGTTCTCCAGACTGATTTTTAAATTGCAAAATAGCAAACTTGGCTTCAGAAAGAGGTTAAGTGTATGTGTCTGTGTGTGAGGTTTCGTTTGCTCATCTAGCAGTTTTACTGTCAAATAATATTCTATTGGAACCGGGCTCCTCCATACACAGATAGGAAAATGGAGGAATATGGAAGAAAAAAGAGAGAGAATTTGTTTTAATTACAAAGCCATGTTCCAGGCACTGTGTGAAGCACTTTACACACAGTCTCCGAATGAGTTGCCCTTCTTCACTTTTTATATTTAAAGAAAAAGCCTAGAAGTTTCCAGCAGTTCAGAGGTATTCCCCCTGGTTCTGTATTAGACAATATTAGAAGCTGGAATCAAATTGAGCTTATGTCTGGGTTTCAAAGTCAGTACTGAGAGGGGTGAAGTGAGCCACCAGACACACCATCTTAACCCGTCTCATGTTGGCCCTATGCTCTTGCTTTTCCACAATACTGCAGCAGAAAAGAGTAGCTTGTGACCCCACTCTCCACCCATCTGCTAACTATCCTGTTTGGAGACGTGCTTCCATCTGTAACCCATTGTGAAGGCATGTCATTAGTGAGACACTGGGAACAAACAGAAATTGTGCTTCCTCCCGAGGCTCTGCTACAAGCTGCCTAATTGGGATTTATGAGTGTCTATGATAAAATTTCTGCATAATAAAATCCTGAGATTTCTTATGAACTCAAAAAAAGAGCCAAAACTTCAACAACTGAACAGGCATGTTGCCAGGGAGTGGGGGCACGTGTGTTAATGCACATGTGATTGGGGAAGGTTGTTACTATGAATTAGACTTAATACAGTGATCTACAGCTTGCTCTTTGCTAATTCAGACCGGAGGTCAAGCCTTGCACCCAGTATCTTTGAGGAGCCACCTGCCATACCTGGAGCTTGGTGATCTGTCTCTCTATGTGCCATCTTTAACTCTGATTGCTGAGTCTCTTTCCCTCTGAGCCCATCACCGGTGGCACAAACTGGACTAAATGCCATCACCGTCCACTTTGGTGTGGATGATAACTAATAATGATAGTCACTACAACAATAATAACGGCCACTTACCATTTTTGACCAGTGCTAACCAGGTATGAAAAAGCCTTACGTTAATTAAATTGCTATCATCCAGCCACATAATATGAGAGCTCAAAATTAACTCATTTTGTAGCTGAGCTAAGTAATTCTCAGAAATCGGGAGTGACTCTCTCAAGGCCAGAGAGCTGATACATGGCAGTCAGGATGTGAATGCATGTGTCTTCTGTAGGGAACCTAACACCACGACTTAAGAAACCACAAGCGTGTATTAAAATGTTCATTTAGTTAGAGGTAGGTGGATATCACTCAAACTATTAAGGAAAATCCAAAAGGCCTCAAGGAAGAGAAAGTAGCTGAGAATGGCTTGGATTGACAAGGAGAATTTCAGAAAGATGGCACAAGGAATGATAGAAGCGATGAGTAAGGTAAGGATGTACTGACATGTATGGAAAACCCTGTTTCAGCTTAACATATTACTGACACCCCCTCCAGAATCAGCTTTCCTGGTCTAACAACCTCACAGTCATCTATCTGGTCATTCAGAACAAAGCCCTAGGAGTCATCCTCAGTTCCTCTTTTTTCCTTCCCAGATGCCACCACGTGCTATTAATAGGCCCTGGTCAGTACACAATCACTTCTGAATTCCAAGACTTCACAGCCTCCTGGCAATCTCTGCTGTTTTAGTCAACTCTTTTACTGCTGTGACTAAGGGATCTGACCAGAACAACTGTAAGGAGGAAAAGTTTATTTAAGGGCTCACAGTTTCAGAGGTTTTAGTCCATAGAAGGCTGGCTCCACTTTTCAAGGCTGGAAGTGAGGCTGAACATCATGGTGGGAGAGTGTGGTGGGGGGAAGCAGCTCACATCAAGGTGATCAGGAAGCAGAGAGGAAAACTCCACTCTCCAGATACAAATAGAGACACCAAAGCCATGCCCTGGTTCCCACCTCCTCCAGCCACACCCAAACACTTCAGGTACCAGCCAGTTAATCCCCACCAGGGGATTAAATCATGGATTGGATTAAGACTCTCACAACCCAATCATTTATCTTCTGAACCAGCTTGCATGGTCTCACATGTGAGTTTCTGGGGACACTTGACATCCAAACCATAACATCTGCCTTTGACACCTGGATTGGTACTCAACCCTCATCGGATTGCAAGGTGAAGTTTCTCGCAGGTAAGCCAGACCACTTCTGCCTTCTCCATCAAACTCTCCAACACAGTTGGTGGTATTTTACACTTTTTGTTCATTTTAGGTAGAACAGTGACATTAATGTTATTCTTTAAAAGATGTTGTACTTAGAATCTTTAAAATAGAAATATTTAGAGATGACATTTTATAATGTCTGGGATTTGCTTCAGAGGGGTGGAACAAGTGGCCAGGAACATGGGTACACAAAATTCGTCATGAAAAGCCAAACCATTAATGACATTCACAGAGGGTGATTTATAACTTTTATTTTACCTACTTGATTTTGAAATTATGCATTTTTAAAAAGTTTAATTAAAAAACTGAAAAAATATCATTGAAACAAGAATAGAATTTTCAAATTCCTAACCATAGCCTACAAGGCCATGCACAGTCAGAGTCCAATCTGCTTCTTGGGTCTCTTTACTCCCATTTTTTTCCTAATTATTCACTCTTCTCAGATCCACTAAACTTCTTGGCCTTTGAACATGCCAGGTTCTTCCTGCCTTTAGGGTCTTGGATTTGCTTGTCCTTCCATTGGGGTTTATTTATTTATTTTCTGTTAACCTTCAAGAGACTACTTCCTCTTCAATTAGGTCTCAATTCCATGAAACCTGAAAGAACAGAATTTTTCTTATCACTTCACATAAATTTACACTACATACCCTTCAATCTCCAGTATATATCCTGTTTTATCTCCCATAGCGTTTTAAAGCTACTTATCAGTTTGTTTCAAGATTTTTTTTTTTAATCTACCACATTACATTGTGACTCCCATAAAGGCAGAAACTCAATCTTATGCACTAAGGTTATCTAGTGTTAAAAAACTTCTTGGGGGCTGGGTGCAGTGTCTCATACCTGTCATCCCAGCAGCTCAGGAGGCTGAGGCAGCAGGATCACAAATTCAAAGCCAGCCACAGCATCTTAGCTAGGCCCTAAGCAACTCAGCAAGACGTGGTCTCTAAATAAGATATAAAAAAGGACTGGAGATATGGCTCAGTGGTTAAACAACCCTGGGTTCAATCCCCAGGACCAAACAAACAAACAAACAAAACAAAACAAAACAAAAAACCCCAAAAGACTTCTTGTTGTTTCACAGTCATTCAAAGCATAGCCAAGACGTTTTAACATTTTGTTTACAATGAGGCTCTATCTTATCCTAGTGTTGCAAATTTAGCATTACCCACACAGTGACTGGGCAGGGCCACTGGCATTTACAAACCAAGAAATCAAAGGGGCCAAAAATGTTTACCAAGCATGGATAACTATCCTGTCCACGTGGAACTTCCTTGCCCAAAGTTATATTATTTCTTCTATTGAAAAACCCTGGACCAGAGAATAACATTGAGGTAGTAATGAGAAAGGATCCTGGATGTGGCAGGAGGCAGTAAGGGATTAGTCCTAGAGGAAAATCAGAACTAAACCTGGACAACCCTTCTTTACACCATCATAAGGAATTAGAAATTGATTTCTTGAATGATGTTCGTTTTCTACTGGTGTTACAACACATTAACACAATGTTGGTGACTGAAATTTGCTCAACTCTATTGTCCTATAGTTCTATAGGTCTCAAGTCCTCTGCATAGGGTGTCAAAAGGCCAGAGTCAAAATATTGGCTAAACTGAGCTCTTATCCAGAGGCTCTAGAGAAAAATTGATTTCCAAGATCATACAGGTTATTGACTAAATTTAATTCCTTGTGGAATTGTATGAATTCTGAAGTCTGTGTTTCCTTTAGTGCCATCAGCTGTGGCTTGCCTTTGCTTCTGGATGCCACCCCAGATCTTTTGGATGCTTTCCAAAAGACCACCCCAACCCTCAGAGGGTTGAGTCCCACTTGTGCTTTCCGTCTCTCTGACATTTTCTGCCATGATCCTCTCTCTCTGAGATATTTACATTTCTAAAGAGGCGTAATTGGATTGGGGACACCTGAGTGATCTGGTTCCTCTCATTGTTTTAAGAGTCTGTCCCCTTATTGCATCAGCAAAGCCCTTCCTGACATTTAATGTTAACAGGATCACAGGTTCCAGGGGTGGAGGCATGAAAACCTATGGGAAGTCATTCTGCCTACCACAGGAGTCATAGAATGTTTTAAAAGAGACAAATCACATTAGCCAAATCTCTTTAAGTAACTATTTCTTTCTCTTTGGCTACCTTTTAGCAATAGGGATCTTTCTCCTCCAGGACCTATAGGAGTGATTCCTGCAGGGCCTCTGTTGGGAAAGGCATTAGAAGCCTGCAGCTGCACGTGAATCCAAGTGGTGCTGTACTCCAGCTCACACAGACAGAGCAGAGAGGAAGGGATTGTGTCTGCCTCCACAAATGGTGGGTCTCAGCTGCGTCCCCATTACTGGGAGAATTTATGAGCAGAGCACATGCCAGGGGGCATGGAGAGCTTCTCTCCCAGAAGCAGATGCTGCTGATCCCACATTGAAGCAACCTCACTCTTCAGCACTCCCAGACACTGCCTGCCAGATGGCCACAGCTGAATCCACAGCTGAATAGATGTCTGCTGTTGGCACCAGTGTGCCTCTGTGGGACTGGTTGAGGACCTGAGATGGTGTCAGGGCATCAGACACACGCGAGCAATACAAATGCTTGAGGTGTATCAGGCTGGGTACTAAGCAAGCATTTGCAAAGGCTCAAACACCACCTTCACAATATTCTCACGTGGATGGTGCTATGTTGTGCCCATTTTATACAGGGTGAGACCAAGGCTCAGAAAGAATGCGGAGCTTACTGAAGGTCAGAGAACCAGGAATTACTGGAGTTGGACTTAAACAGAGGCAAATCTTTCCAACTCTCTGTGATCTTAGATGCTGTGCCAGATAAATCTAATGTCAAGAGCTTTTTAGCCCTCTCCCCTAGGCTCCATGGTGGCATCCAGTCTCATTTTGCACCAGCTCAGATATGCCCCAATCTAAGCAGTTGCCATCAGATGAACCATCCTCATTTATAGGTCAGTGGCCCAGAATATTTTTCTCCTGTGGAACGGTATGGAAAACTGGTGAGTGGATAATTGAAGCTGACATCCAAAACGATATCTGTAGTCAAGAGAAACTTAAAGCCAAATAAATATAGGCATGGAACCATAAAAGGGTAAAAAATGCATAGTCGGGCAGGGGGAAGATCAGACTCAAGACTCACCTTTGGGATCCCAAGTACATGGTATGAAATTACAGTTGCATGACAGGCATCATCACCCTGAGCACGCACTGAGTGCTTAATCTGCACCGGGAACTAATTCATGCCAACTACACAGACGATTGCATTTAACTCACATCATCTCTATTGCTATTGCTCAAGGGCAAAAGCTATTGCCCTTCACGTATACATGAAGAACATAAGAATTCATGGTTTAAGTAACCTACTCCATGTATCATGGTAGGTAAAAGGCGGCTCTGATTTTAATCTAGGTAGCCTGACATGATAAATGACTTTTTGATTTCCCTATGCTCCATTCCAAAATGTCATGGGACATTTGCAGTTAATTTGGGGAGTGTTGAATTTACTTATAGAGGAGAAAGAGTCTGTCTTGGCACCACAGTGACACTGACCACAGTAAGTGAGACTATCCTCTATGGAATGAAGGTTAATAGGCGTTTCATGTCCTACCTCAAACATAGATGCATTTCATAAATTGTGATTGCATGAATGGGCTGAATCAACCTGAGAAAAGTGAAGCCACTAGCAAGATAAGAGTGTATCATTAAGTTGCCATATCAGAAAGATATTCATGAAAAACATGTGAAAAAATGCAGAGGTAAAGATGAGGATATATCTTGAGATTAAGTTGCTAATTTTTACATACTCTTAGAAGGAGTCATTCAGGTGTGAAATGGGGCTGTGACTGGGTTACTCCTTCAATTGCTAACATGTCCCAGCATGGCAATATGGAAGTACTAACATTGGATGACTGTCTCACCATTGACCATCAGGTTAGGTCAGGGGCATGTGCAGGGAAATGAAAACAACAGAACACTCAAGGCTTCCCTAGAAAGTTAGAGATCACCGTGGTGTGCACATTGCAGAATATATCTGGATGGGTACATGAAAACTATAACCAACAGAATGGGAATTTTAAAGAAATAAAGCATTTGTATAAACACTGATGGAACATGGGGCACAAACATACAGGTCACTGAATTTATACCCAATCTGGCAAACAGAAAGTAAATGTATAGAATTTCTTACCTAAAAATTGGAAGTCGTGTACTGTCTCCTCGGAGCTATGATAGTTACAAGAAATACACTTAGAAACATGATTGATATGCAGGTAATAAGATAGATAGCTTGAATTAGTATCTCCAAAGGAGTTGCTAGGGAGGCATTCAAAGTTGATTTTCTTCTCTCCCTTTTCTTTTTTCCAGTTCCTTGCAAAATGTAAGAGCTTAAAACAACCATTTTCATCTTTATAGATATGTCGATCACCGACGAGGATAGGTGATAGCTGGGATGGGTTACTTCTGCTCAACAATATCTAGAACCTTGGGGACTAGGGAGCAGACTCATTATACATGCTTTCTCAATCACATGGCTGGCAGTTCAGCATGGTTGAAGGATAAAACTTTATAGAGAAGACTGCCAGTTGGAATATCCAAAGATGGGCTCCTCACATAATCTTTGCTTCCTTACAATATGGTGGTTGCAGCCTGTAGGCAAATATCATGAGAGATAGACAGGTCAAAGCTATATAATAACCCTTGTTCAGAGTCCCATAGCTGCATCCTGCTGGTCAGAGCATTCTGTGCCTACTCAAAATTAAGGGAAAGGAAAATAGTCTCCACCCTCTGGTGGAAAGCAGCATGGTTCTGGAAAAAACATGGTATAGAAAAACATACCCTCTGACATTCAAACCTTCATAAGTATGATTGATCTGAATTATTATATGAAGTGGCTAGTAAGATAGCTTTTTGAAAACCTCAATCTTGCATCAGTATTCTTGCACATCTAAATATTGACAAAATTTTATTCTAAAATTCTAAAGACAGATTGAGTTAAGAATGCGTCCTTATCATTTACCAATTCAATGTCATATACATGCCTAACCTGAAAAATTAGAAATGAAAGGGATGGATTCTTATTAAGCAAGCACAGTATGTCTTCGATGAATCACTACAGTTTTTGCCTAATATGCATTTTATAAAAATTCACTGATGTGTTTAGATACATACAGTTATGTTTTCTTTTTAATTCAAATCCAACATTTAGGAAAATGCATATAACTAGTCTCCCTTTGGCCCAATTCTCTCATCTATAAAAGGGAAAAGAATGAGATGGATAAGCTAAGCAATGTGCAATTTTGGCATGCTAATTGTGGTAACATAGAAAAGTCCTATAGTCAATAATTCAGAATGCAACAAGACTTTTGTGTAAAAACTTCTTAGAGCCTTCAGTATTTTCCTTGAACCTTTTTTTGATCATAGGCTTTTTTCTGCAAGATCCCCTTACAGGGATAAAAGTCCCTGGACTCTACTTTAAAAAATGCTGGATGGATCACTCCTTCTTAATGTGCACTTCTGTAGAATAGAGTTTAGCATAACCAGAGAACTGATATCTTTCCCTCAAAATTCAAGAAGCAACACCCAAAGACAATTACCTCAATTTTGCATGTG